TCTGTCTGTCTGTCTGTCTGTCTGTCTGTATGTCTGTCTGTCTGTACGTATGTTCCGAATAGAAAATTTCATTTCTGAACCAATCGGGACCAAACTTGGCACACATACACTTCGGGCCCCGGCGGGTGTCATTGGCTACTTTTCCTCATCGATCGATATCGATTTTATCGATTTTTTGCAAAATTTGAGCTACGGGGCTGGGAGTTGGCACAGGGGGGTAATCGAGCATGCTGATCACCCCCGTGGGAGTGAGCAGCATGCTCGATTACACCCCCCTGCCAAATTCCAGCCCCCTAGCTCAAATTTTGCAAAAAATCGATAAAAATCGGTAAAATTGACATCGATCGATAACGAAAAGTGGACTGTGACACCAGCCGCGGCCCGAAGTGTATGTGTGCCAAGCTTGGTCCGGATCGGTTGAGAAATGGAATTTTCTATTCGGAACATACGGCGGAGCCGGGTGCCAGCTAGTGTTCTATAAGCCTCAAGAGCCAGTACTATCGGTAGACTGCGCATTTCGTATCTTTGCTATGGGGCTTATCAAACGCAGAGTCGCTTGCGTCAGCATCTTCACTCCCGCCTTGGGCTCTGCATCTCTTCCGCGCACATGCTCTCTGATCGCTTTCCCAGGGCGAGCTTGGGAAAGGCGGAGTCTCAATCGATTGGATGTAATTAGAGTGCATCTTCGCGGAAGATACGCAGACTCCAGCGCGGGAGTGGAGATGCTGATGCAAGCGACACTGCGTTTGATAAGCCCTATACCTCTGTCTTCAATGTTCTTAAAAGGTACAGTCGCATGCACCCAAAATCGAACCTGGCGCTAGCGCAGATTAGAGGTTTGAAGGAACTTCGGGAGCTCACCGCATCTAACACCATCAAATAGGAGTCAGCGATGAAGGCGGCGAATTTGTAGTAATGCCTAAACAACATCTTTAAGACAAAATGACATATTGCGAATCATCAGACAAGGAATTCAAGCGAGGATATGGAAGGCTCAACAAGCTATGGGTAGGGACGGCGCGGATAGCAGGCCTATCGCAGCACATCATATCGCTTCTCAAGTGTGATCTACCAGTATGTCCAGTCTTGTATGTATCCATCAAGACGCATAAGCTACCGCCAGACATGATGACTTCCACAGATCCGGCGAGCTACAAGGTTCGTCCCATTATCAGCAACGTTGGAGGTCCCACAGATAGGATATCTTGGGTGCATAACCTCATCTTTAGCAACTACTGCAGTTTTTCCCGCACATTTACCTAACACCAGCACCCTAATGGACCACTTGCGCAATAAGCGATTCGATTATATGAGGTCATAGAATCCTTCGATGTTAATTCTCTCTACACAACGCATCCAATTCAGCCGCGCTGGAATGTGTGTTTGAATTGCTCAGTGAGAGAATTGATAGTCTGAACTTGTATGGATTCACTATCCAATAAGTGATGACGCTCTTAGACCCCGGGCAGGCTTCACGCGATTTGATCGTAGCGACTGAGTCGCGACGAGACAGCTGTTACAACATCATTCCATGCCGATCAACCTGCATTCGGTTGTGATACTTTTCCAGCCCGACATTTTTGAATGTGAAATGAAAATGAATGGAAATCTTGGCGATTAGATCGCGACGATTAAGTCGCGTGAAGTCTGACCGGGGCCTTAGAGGGATGTCTAGACTGTTCGATATTTCGCTGGTCAGGGCAGTATACAAGCAGATCAGGGGGCTCGCCATGGGATAGCTTTGGCTCCTGCCATAGCGGTGTGCTTCATGTTCAGAGTGGAAAGCCCAGTGCTAAGCCGCGGTCCAACTTTCTATCGCCGGTATATTGATGACTGCCTCATCGTGTGTCTGATGCAAAAAGAAATGGACGTGTGTTTTGACCTGCTCAACAAGCAGTCAGCTGATATAAAATTTACTAGCGTGAGGCCAAATGAGGTATGACTTCCATTTCTCGACATACAAATATGCTTGAGAAAAGAAGAATGTAAGACAAGATGGTGCAGGAAGCCAACAAGTAAGATCTTAGTGCACTACACCTCCGCACACCCCATTCGCGCGGAGCGCATCGTTATCGGGAATATGCTTCGCACGGCCAAAATGGTGTCGTTAGACGATACATTCAGAGCGGCTTCAATTGATATGGCATGACAGGTAGCGCAAGCTAAGGCTATCCACGTAGAGGAGCTCGAATAAGTCATAGAGCAGATTACCTGGTGTTGCTGAGAACAGCAAGGTGCCATTCTGCCTTCCCTTCGTTTCGAATGAGATGAGCAAAGATATCAGGGCATGCGTGCGAAAATCATGCCTGCAGAACTTGTTGAGAGTTTTAGAAATTCCCCCCCCTTAATTTAATACAGAGTTTAGTGCGAAACAGAGCACACGATAGAGCATGCAACAGCACGAATTGTATCATTTGCGAGACAAACAGGCGTGGGGATTGTGTGTGCTTAGGAGCCATCTATCTTGTGTGCTTAGGAGCCATCTATCTAATCACCTGTAAGCTCTATGGGGAGGAATACATAGGAAGACGGAAAGGCCGCTATGCGTCAGGATCAAGGAGCACATGGATGGGTTACGAAGATCACAATTGTCAACCCCCCTGGGGCACCCACCGTATGCTTTGCTACCAAAACGCAGAGTTTGATATCTCAGTCGGCATACTATCAAGGGAGACTGATGTCCGCGCGAAAGACTCTTGAGGCATGCTGGATTTCATCCAGAAATCCCAAAATGAATTAAAAAGACGAATGCATTGCCGTAACAACTGAGCTCGCGCAGTTCCTGGATTTATGCATCGCACAGCGCATACTAGCCAGCGGTGGTCCCTAACAAATTTTATCGGCTAAGGTGAGCTATGTTCTAGGTTTACAGAAGTCTAGTCCACTTCTCGGAATTTCCTGCAAGTGAGATGTTTGATGGGGTAAATCCAAATGTTCTATGCTTTATAGGCTCTGACGAAGGTGACTAGGCCGAAACGTTAGCCGAAAACGATTTAGCAATCTTGGTGCCGGCTAAACAACAGCATTCATAACGATATGCCAAGATTTATCGAGAGTCGGACATGGAACATTATGCACTGATTGGTGGATTTTTATGAATGATCGCGGACACCAAGAACTGTTCCTTCTGCTGAAACACACTTTTATAATCGAATGATTCACTAAATATGCCCAGCACCAAAACAACAGTTAATCGGACATCAACGATGCCATTGCCGGATTTTCGGTTATATCATTGTGTACATGAGCCCTTTGCCTATCTCATACACTCATATTCTTTGTCGATTTATCTACTCATACTAATGTCAACCTCATAAAAAACAGTGCTAAAAAGGACCTATCATTACATTTGTTCAACGACGAATTAGGTAATTGTTTACAATGCTGTTGTTACATATGAGATTCAACAGAAAATATCGCGGCTTCGAAACGCGAGCCACAAATTACAGTCTGCTTTCATATGCTGTATCATCTTTTAAGCTGGTATAGGCCGTCCGCGCTGCGCGCGGAGAGCAACGCTGTTGCGTCCAGTGAAGATAGTTGAGCGCAGAGAAAAACAGGCGGCGAGAGTGCACGGGGAAAGAGGAGTGACGCGCAATACACACCTTGCGCACTCTCCGCGCCCTGCGCGGACGGCCTATATTTTACAGAGTGCAACGAATGCACCCTCGACGAGCGACACAACGAGCAACGATGTCGAGGACAAAGTTTGGGCATCAACTTCAGATCCACTGTATGATCTTCGATTCCTCAGAAGATATCCTTTGATAAATTTAGTAGTTTGCACCTTTGTGTAGTTTTAACAGATTGCGCCCTTTTCTTTACATCTTGCCTAAATATGAAGCTTAGTTCTCTTGTGCGCCTGACCGTGATTTCTTGGAGCTAAGCTTCAAGCTACTTGATGAAATTTGAGCATTTTATTTCACTAATGAGCTTCCTTTTTTGTGCGTCTTAGAACGACTCAAAACATGCAAAAATTTTGCTGTTTTTCTCTTGCTGGTGTGAAGGGATTTTGTATGTACAATTCATCGTTTGTACGTTATGCGGTTGTTTCTAGCAAGGCTTCAATTACCAAAGTTTGAGGTTGTGGATAAACGTGCGCCGATTGGTTATGTTTGTTCCACCAAGCAAGAGCCACTCAACCCATTTTAGAGATTTGGTTACCCATTGCTGTTCTGCGTCTTCTCAAGCCAAGTATTTCTTGTGCTCATTCGGAGGAGACCCCGGATCAAGTTGGATTTTCGCGAAGACTTGCTTGGAACCTTCTCTTTACCATTTGCTTTGTGGTTTGGACATTTATTTTCTGCCCATCCTTCCATCCGCAGATCACAAAAGTTGGGACGTTGGCCATTCGAGTCGCCGCAGGTTCTTTGATTATCATTATCGTTTCAGGTAGGACAAAATCTAGAGGCGCCTAAATGCGTAAGACCCGGTCGCAGCAGGATCGAAAGCATCCAAAGCAAGACCAGGACAACCGCAATTGAGAAGAAGGACGAAGATCAGACCCTTATGTAAGCCAAGCAAGACCAAGGAAGCTAGAGCAATGAAGAACTCTATGAATGGTTCAACATATGCTGGCAGCACGCCCCGAATATTTTATGAAGCTACTAGCTTTGATTAATTTTTATAAATTATTTCAATTATTCAATTCAAATATTCGAGAGTGACAAGTCACTTGCACAATTTTCTTGCCTAGGCATTTCGACCGTACATTCTCCCCACCTGAGGTTTTAGTTATTTTTCAATTTCTTTCTTTTTCCGACGCTACTACGTTACCCTTACTTGATAGCTCCACCACAAGGAGTCGTGCATACTACAAGAATGGATTATGTCTCACAAAAACTGAAAAATAAAATTATTTAGAAGATATTGATAAAGGTATTCAATGTTTGGTGTCACATAATCATTACGAAGTACAGTCCATCGCCCCTACGATGTGTTCCAGACATACTATAAAGAGACATCACATCAGAATTACAGTTTATTTCAGCCACATGAGCCGAGGACTATAAGTGATTGCATTGATGACGTGTTGTTTCATACGCAACAATCTATGACGAGAAAAATGTTTATTACAAAATTAGCTGGCTGAGGATCTGTGCTCAATACCGGGTAACTTCCGCTATGGGAAAGTAAAATCGTTGAGCTCGTACAACGGGGAAGTGGTGCTCTGAAAATGGAGAGATTCGAAAAAAGTAAAGATTTTCCAGTTAAATTTATAGAAGGCAAAATAGATCGGGCACTTGCTTTCATATTAGCGCGTCAAATCCAACACATATTTCTGATGCATAAAAAACTTTGTAGGATGCAAGTTTGAGACATAGTCTTAAGACCAAACATGCTGCGCAACTCATAAGTTTGACCAATAATTCCAAACCATAGCAATCTGGAGACTTTTTTGCTTACTCATATGCTAAGAAATTTTTGATTTCCACTGCTATTTATTGCTATGCTTTACAAAAACCGTGAAAGTAGCGTGATAAATGCTAAAGGACGAATTTTGGCATTTGCCTTCGTGCCCTTCGAAAAACTAGTTATGGAATATAAGCGCAAAGATTGAATAGAAAAGCTGCTACGAATGCGGTATGCTGCTATTGAAAAAGGCGTTTCAAAGGTATGTTTTCCCTGGTTCGTTGATTTCTCTCTTCCCAAGAATTCTTTTCCTCAGCTTCAGATACCATTTTGTAGAGCCGGATTCAGCTTAGTTTTACCGTATGGAGCGACTCATCAATCGCTTTTCATTACTGTGAGATTACAGTAGGAACTTTGAGGAGGGTTTTGAGTGACTAAGGACCATGCTTCATTCCTGAAAGACAACCAGAGAAGCAGAAAAACCCTACACTGAATCAATCAGGGTCGTTTATTCAAATATGAAACTAGCATTTCGTTGTAATGTCTCTTTCATGAGCTAATTTTCTCGCTGTTCTTCAAAAATTCGAATATACCACTTGAAAAGTCTTAGAAACTAAAAAACTGTCTTCTAGAGAGCACGCGTGCGCGAGAACCTTATCACACAATTTTCCAAATTTTTTTGGGCTATTTTTACAGTGCCCATTCCACAGTGGCGTCATTTGCTGCGATTTCCTACCGTAATCCTACAGTAATGGAAGGCGATTGGTTGTTTGTTTACTGTAAATCTAAGCTAGAGCCAGCTCTACAGAATGGTATCTGATGGTAGACAAAAGACTTGGAACAGAGGTATCAACGATCAAACAGTTATACATACTTTTGGGCACCTCGTATCTGTATTCGAGAATTTGTGATTACAAGTAGAGAACGACGGACATTCAGACTAGCTACGGTGAACGTTTCACTACATTCTGAAACGCGGATCTGTGTCTTACAAGAGGTTAGATTATCATTTTTATCATCCATCTACGAAGTTTTTTATGTTTTATTTTTTTCTAGTCTCAAATTTTGGCGACTCTGTGTTTGAAAAAAAATTCTGGAATTCGTTGGCTCTTTTTTACTGACTACTGAAGTTTGTTTCTCGCATAAATGAATTGACTCACTTGGAAAACTCCGTTGCAGATTACTGAGCTGTTCACCGAAGTTTATGATCGTACCATCGAAAGCGGCAACTGCCAACAGCAAAACGCATATCGTGACAAGTACCAGCTCCAAGCGAAGCATCACCCTGAAAAGATTTTTGTTGGAATGTTCGAGATATAGCAAAACAGCAAGAGTAACGAGCACGCCCAGATGTTATATGAAAGGGTGAAGAGAAAGGACATTACTTGTAAATTTAGGTCACTAATTTGCAGTATTTCACTTTAGTACTTTCTTTATTTGGAAGCTAAGAGCAGGTGATTCTGCATTGCAATCTGTAAAACTCAAAAGAAGTTCTTTGAGACTTTGCATTTTTCTTGCAGTCTAAAAAGTGTTTTCGCAGAGGGTTTGCGTTTCAACTACAGGTAATGTTTATGATGAATCTGAAGACATTGAGGCAAATTCGGAAACTTCAAATGTGATGAAGCTAGCATAAGTCCGTCTGGATGAAATGATGTTGGAAACGAAGTTATAGTTGACGTTTTTCTAAGACCGCCCACGGTGCCAACTCCGCCCATTCAGACGTAAGGTGAGGAAACAAAAAATTACACTAGCTGTGTTGCAAAGACTGAAGCAATTTTTCACCGCAATGACGAATGACGAATTTCGACCAAAACCAAATTTGAATGCTAACTGCAGATATTTAATTCAACGACTTTTTCCGCAACATTGTAAAAGCAATGAATAGTTCATCTAGCGTAGGATAAACCCTAAAAAAGCTTATCGCATGGAATGAAATGGCATGAAAAACACAAAAACTTTCACAGCAAGGCAATGAAGCGTATTCCCCCGTGGCGATGTTATCAGCAAACGTCCCCAAAATAAAACAAGCTGATGCAGGTTGTCTCAAAGAATTCCAGGTTTTAAAGCAAACTATGCAAATTGTGGTCGATTGATGTACCAAAACCTTAGGCCGTAACATAAGTCTTGTTAGTCTTTTTCCTCTTGAAAAACTCTTGGCAGAAACTACTATTTTATAAATTGAGTAATGGATAAAGGACTACATGCTGGCATCATTTTCACCTTTATAAATGTGGGTTACAGTAAAAAATGAAGGCAGTTTTGTGAAGACACTTCAACTCCTTTCTTTCTTTTTCTTTTGAAAATCCTTTCATTCTTATTTTTCACGCTCTTTGATTTCTTACGAATTTTCTAGGATACTTGTACTAATCTAGAAGTAGTTCGGAGGATTAGGCCCTCCACTAACCCGAATTGGAAATTTGCCACAAATACTTCGAACTTTTTTTTTGAAAAATTCAAAAATTCCGATTTTTCATGTGTGACATAATTATGTTAAAAAGCTGCATTTTCAAGTAATGGAGAATCTCAAAGTCATGGAGGTTTTTTTCTCTAAGTATAATAAACCTTTTACGATCTAACACCTTGCACGCAAAACTGAACTTGTAGACATTAGAAACAGTTTCAAAGAACATGAATAATTAGCAAGATTCCGCAACCATTTATGGCTCTAAGTGAAACGAATGTTGCACTTGCAACCTAATCCAAAAGCCATTTTCATGAATTTCAGAAAAGGTCATACATTATCATGATTGCGCTCAAACCATGCTGAACGATGAATTGTTATAGACTAAAGTAGCCAAAGCTAAAATGCTCACAGCATGGTCATTTTATATGGAAACGCGTAATCCAGTGGGCGTGGCCAAGAAACGCACAATTTGACGAAGGCTACAATTCAATAAGGAAAATTGTTGGTGACAATAACATCTATGATCGTTTATGGCTCGCCTACGTTCGCGACTAAAGTGATTTTTGAATGGGATTATGTAAGACGTAAGAACAAAAAATCCAACTAAATGTAAGTAAGAAAACTTTCCCTGTTTCTAGCAAAAAAGATCCAGCTAAGGATGATGCTGGTGCCAAGAATGTTGCTTTCAAAACTTCGAAATCGCCCAAATTTAGCCCTGAACGTTTATTTCACGAATCGGGAAGGCGAGGCAATTATTCAGATCTTTGGAAACTTGAACAATCAAAACAATGACGGCAAACAGACAAAGCCTTCCCTCTCCGCCCTCGTTTTTGATGCCTGAAGAGACGAAAGGGGCGCAAAAATGATTGGTTGAAAAGGAATACGTGAAGAGAGGGGGGGTCAAAATTTTTGAAACAAGTGACCACAAATGCACGATGTCATAACCAAAATGAAAGCGATCAAAGGCTTGTTAAAGCAAGCAATTCCTGAGAAAGGAAAATCAGACTATAGATCTTCGCTAACCTTCAGTAAATATGCGTGATTTCTGCTTCAAGAAAATTTCCTAATTCAATTTCCTTGAACAATTATTGAGAGGTGTGAACGCAGTTAGACAATTTGATCTATGCTATTAACGACATTTTGTGACGTATTCGTTTATGTCTAAAAGGCAAAGCAACTTATTACTTCCTTTTAGGAAAAAACCTAACAAAGAAAATCTCAAACTAAAATAGACACAAAGACAGCTTTACCTGATCTCAAATCAGATACTACTAACAGATACTTTTCCCTTTTATAGAGACTACAGTCAAGTTAAGTAGGCTACACTCACCATTACAAGCAGATGGCAATAAGTAGCGAGATTTCATATTAGAATTACGTCTCCGAATTACTATTCTATTTTAGTCACAATCTTGATGATTGAATTATTATGAAATATCGCACTTACTTCAAATTCTCAGCTTACTTTTCAAATACAATCAACTACAATCTATGGAAGTGCCAGAACTTTTCAGAATCGTATGGGAAATTATTTTTACTATCATTGTCAAAATAAAATGTAAGCAACGGCAAAATACTAGGCCACTACATAAGTTTTGTGTCACACTCAATGGAAAAAGTCTTTAGAACTTCCGAAGAAGATTCTTTATATTTTCCAAATTGTGTGGACGTGTATTATCGATAAATATATCAGGATAGAGAATCCATGGTTATTAGAATTTTCCAAATTATTTTTTTTTGCAAAAATTGAAGGATGCAAGATATCGCACTGTTCGTATCTAGTGATTCTGGAAGTGTCTAAGATATCTAAAACGTGAAAAAAAGGAATGAAAGAATTTTCAAAAACTAAAGAAAAATATGGAAGTTGATACGCTGGAGATTTAACTTTATTTTTGCTGTAACTCATATTGAGAGGGAAAACACAATAGATACCCTTCATCCTCTAATATATGCCAAATATGAGACTTTGCCATATTTTCTAGAATTATTCGATATAAGAGGAAGAAAGCAAACAAAATCTGTTTCACGACCCAATATGCGCATTCTGGACCACTGTCATTTCATAATGTTCGAGGAAAATGGAGCGTGTAAACCGTCTCCAGTTCATAAGGTGTTCAAGCTTTTGGAAAATCATGAAAGAACTTGCAAAAGCTTTCAGAACTTTTGCATTTGGTGAGAATAAATGCGTTCTTTCATGACGCACAACAAAATCAGGTTTTTGTAAAAACGACTTGACTTATGTGAGAACAAGAATGTCTCAAAAAAAAAAACAAATTGTGGTAGCACTAAGCTAAAACTGTAATTCAATGGTCTCTAACCCTATGGTACAGTGAGAAATCAGAACTACTAGAAAAAGCCTAGAGTTTCTTATCGTATTCGTCAGAGGCACAAAAGACAGTTAGCTATTTAGAACATCATAGAGTAGGGCACAAAAAAGTCTATAAAGGATTGAAGTCGAAAGCGATTACGTCATGTTTTTAGCCTATAATTTTCTTCTCGCGCTTCGGCTACAGAGGGTCGGATTTCCCCATAATCTTTCTTTTTTTCACTTTGGCAACACTTACTTTTTTCTATGAAAAATTGGATATAGTTCTATAAGCTTTTTTGACATTCTCAAATTAATTTATTCAGTCTCAAAATTCTCAAGAAAAACGATAGATTGAAAATATTTTTTGAGAAGGGCTAACGTCACTGCTCTTTAGAAGATGCCTAAAATAATGGCAATTCCGCTTTCTATTGTCTTTGAACAGTGTCCAGAACTGTTCGTATGCAGGAGCCCGTCAGCACCGTACCAGCCAGTGCTAGCACAGCGCCGGAAGCCGCAAAACGCAGCAATGAATATTGTTCGATCAACCTCGCCGAAACAGTTCTGGCACGGCACTAGCACGACGCTAGAACGGCGCTGGAATGGAGCTAGAGCGATTCTGGAGCGGCAGTGGAGCGTTGTTGACACGGACGTAGCCTTACCTCTCGGAACAGCTTTGTACCAAGCTAACACTATCAAATTGTAAACGAGATGGATCAACTGAAAACTGGTTACGAGGATTGGAATTGTATGAAAAATAAAAATTTTGCTAAAATATACGAATTTATCTCGTGGTTTCGGGTCAATTTTGACTACCAGTATGGTAAATGGCAAGATAGCAAAACTGTACTTGCTCAACTGTAGTGCTAAATTTTGTAACTTCATGAAATCATATGTGTTTACTCTTACTGTGTAGTAGTTTACGAATTCTGATGGCAAGATCATACCTCGGATGTCAAGATTACGGTAGCTGAGAAGAGTATACAACAATTACGTAATGGAGTATGATGTGAAACAAGCCATCAGGTCTTATCTCTTACTGTAATATCTTGTGATGGTGTGATGTCATAGTGTTTGAATTTTGTGATTTATTTTTGTGATAATATTTTTGTGATAAGAGAAGTAATAACTAGGACGAAGATTGTCTGTCTACTATGACTAGCAATAACGTTACAATCACATTTACTATAGCTTTTCCTTCCAAATATACCAGCGTACTGCGCCGCTAGGAGTTGCTTATCGCATGTAAAACTTAATTATTGCTTACCAAGTAGTCTGTCTGAGGCGAAGTCTTTTTTGAGCATGTATATGAGGATTAATAACTGAGTAATTATTTCCTTGTATGGAATTATGCGTTGCGGTACAGAAAATATTATTCCTATTTATGTTTTTGTATTTGGAACAAAAACGGAACTCACTGGAACTGGTGAAGGTGAAATAGGTGAAGAGAGGTGTGAAGTATCAAGTATTTTTGAAGCACGAATAATTGGGAAGTTAAAGTTCTGAAGATCTCAGACTGCTGCATCTTTCTTTTCCTCCTTTCTCCGTCTTGGTTTGCAGTTTGACGAATTCTCTT